TGGGTGTATCCAAAGTCACTCTAAAAGGAGTAATTAATAGCTTTCAAAAACAGAAATTTGCATGGATGTAAATAAGCTACTTGTCATTTTTGTTGTTCCTTACGGGAGAATTGCTACTGCAGAAGATCCTGGAGGAAGACCACTATTTGGCCCGCTTAGACTTTGGCACAACTGATGTACTGCTGCCTTAGCCATACCATAACCAATGCATCCTACAATGACAATGAGATAGAATTGTACTAATACTGCTATATACATGCAAAATCCAAATCTATAACAGTTGGGACATTTTTTTAAAAGTAATAAAATCAAGATTCTGTGATTTGCTAATTCTCTTTAATCTTAATATACAGTAACTAACAAAAGTACAAAGAAAACATTTCCAATGATTTCACTGGCCAAATTAATTGTATTTTGTAAATGTAAACATGATTTTGATGGCTGCAACACACTCCAAAAAAAAGTTGGGACAGAGACAAAATAAAAAAATAAAAAGAGTATAGAATATCCAAGTCAAATTGTTTTAAATAGTCCACAATTAGTAGGTGAACTGGTAATAGCTAAGGGCATCGTGTTTTGGCATAAAAGCAGCTGCATTCCCCAAAGACTCGGTCTTTGCAAGCAAAGATGGATCATGGCTCACCACTTTGTGCCAAATTTCACGAGAGAATTGTCAAACAATTCAAAAATCAAAATGTAAAAACCTTCTGTTTTCCCTTGAAACAAAAAGTATTTAGGTCTTTCACCAACTACCATACATAATATTCTGAAAACAATTAGGGAATACAGAGAAATCTCAATACATGTAGGGCAAGGCAGGAGACTTCTGTTGAGAAACCGTGATGCTACTTTGTTAAATATAGCCACATGGGCTCTGGAGTACTTTGGAAAACCATTGTCACTGAACACAGTTTGACGCTACATCAAGAAATGCAACTTTAATAGTCTGTTACGCTTGGAGAAAGCTTTACATTTGTCCAATGCATCGCAGATGTCTAAAAGAAATGTGTGTTGTGGTAAGATGAATCCATGTTTCAGCTTCTTTTCAGTTCTCAGTCCCAAAGACAACAAGGCCCATCCAGACTTGCATTGGTGACCATTACAAAAGCTAACATCTGTCATGGTATGGTGGTGCATCAGTGCAAACGGTATGGGTGAGTTGCACACTATATGTGTGAAGGTATCATTGACGTGGAGGTGCATATTGGGATTGTACAGAGACATATACTGCCATCAAGAGGACATCTTTCCTGGGAAGCTAGCTAGACAATGGCAGGCCTCATTCTGCAAATGCTAAAACAATGTTTCTTGACACTCAACAGTACAGTAGATGTGCCTGACTGCCTGTGGTCCAGATCTGTCTCTTATTGAAAATGTATGGCCTAGATGTGACATGCCCAACTGTCCCAACTTTTTTGGAGTGTGTCGCAGGCAGCCAGGCACTAAAATAAATATATATTAATATATCTACATAGGATTTTTTTAAAAAAAGGGATTTTCGTATGTGGGAGATACATATGTGTTTGTGGAGAGAATATTATTTAAAAGCTTTGTGTGTTATACAGTTTAATGACGAATCTTAAGCTAATTTGCTTTGTACTGTGAACATGAACTTTTTATCATGCTAAGAGACAAGCATTTGTATGTATGCAAGTAAATACAATATATTAAGGTCAGGGAGTAAATACAAGCATACATACCTGCTGTTGGACCCAGTGCTGCTTTAGCCCCCGCCAGTGTGAGCAACCCCCCCTCTCTCAGGTGTTTGGTTGCTAGGTGACTGCAAATTGTGGAGGTCCACACACTCTGCTTCCACATCAGGTCAGAATTTTTATACAGAGCTGAGGCATATTGAATACATTCATATGAAGTATAAACCGATATAATTATAAACCTAAAAATGTTCACTTCTAGGAATGAATTAGACTTAAGAGATTAGCGCCCTCTTGTGACAATACTGAGAATGCAATACATTTCAGAAAGCGTTAACAAAAGATTAATTTTGCATTATCAGCTAGAATGTCAATTTAATGTTTGTGTTAAATTTAAAAAGTCTGAAAACCTCTGCCATAGATTTTGTGTGGCCTCTGTGTGTACATGTACTAATAAGCATGTACTAACATTTGGCCTTGGCGCTGCCCCCTGCCCAACCTCCGGCCACACACAGGATGGCATCAACTTTATCTTCACCTAACAGCTCACCGACATCAGCTGTCACCTAACAAAAATAAAAAAGAAAGACAGAGATGTAACCATTCATCCACTGACCCAGCAGGAGATGACCATTTTCACTTTTTAGCACAAAACTCATTTCACTTCGTTTAACTCGTTTTTTTTTTTGTTTTTTTATTGAGAAACCAAGCAAATAAACAAATCAATAACAATGTCAAATCTTATTACAAACTTACAGTGCTCATCTTAGATAAAAAAGAAAAAAAAAGTATTAAAAAAATCTTTAAAAAATAAATAATCTTAAAAGAACAAAAGAACATGGGGCATGTTATGGCAAAAATGACAATTACATATTCAAAGAAATTAAGATGCTTCTTCTAATGTTTTTTTTTGCCCTCAGCAATGGCGACGGGTCGGCAAATGCCCGTATGTTGTGACGTCATGTGGGAACTATGTATATTTGGGAATCACGTGAATATCAACATCGGTCGATAATCACACCCATTAAGTCAATTAAAAGAAATGGCAGTTACAAAATCGTAAAGCCTTGTTAAATGAGTAAAAGACAAACACACACGACACATGAATATTATATACAGTATACATCCCGGTCAAAAACGGACAAAGCCTTAAAATGTAACTTTTTTCCCAGGATAACCATTCAAATATATATATATATAATACAACAATATGGTATAATATGGTAATACAACAAAAGCCACCAAGTTTCACCCCCATCCAATGAAGCACAAAAAAATTAAACAATGCAAAACGTAAAAGTTTTCGGTCATTTTCGGACGAAGAAGCCCAGGGGGTTAAATTGCATAAGTATCCATACCCTTTTTCTGGGACACTTGAAATTTAGCTCAGAAGCATTCCAATTTCACTTGAAGAGGTTACTACTCTGCGAGTGGTGTTAACTTGTGGCAAATTCAACTGAATACAATTAAACTGAAAGGCAAGGAGTAATTTGTGTGAGATGCGAGAAATCAACTGTGTAGATTTTAAATATTGCCATTTTTACAAACATGTATGGCGAATCGAAAATGTGCTCAAACGTTTTCGGAAGTGAAAATCTCCAGAAGCACAATACCAGCAAGAACACATCCTCTCAAACTGTCAGCAGCGTTCTGTGTGCTTGTCACCTTGTGAGTTGATTCTTCTAAGAACAACTAGCAAGAGTGTTCTCCCCTGGAACACAAATACGTTCTTTGCATTCTTGGTTTTGAGAAACACCACTTGTCTTTATGGCAGAGTGGCCAGACTCAAGCCTCTCCTCAGTGAAGACACGTGAAAACTCACTTGGAATTTGCTAAAAAGCACCTAGAGGACTCTCTCAGACTCAGAACAATAATTCTCTGGTCCAAAGCATCATGCCTGCTGGAGGAAACCAGGCACTGCTCATTATCACCTGCACAATACCTTCCCAACAATTAAGTGTGGTGGTAGCAGCATTATTTTTCAGAGTCAGGGACTCGCAGAGTAAAAGAAAAGCTAAAGGCAGCAACATATAAAGACAGCCTTAATAAAACCCTAGTCCAGACAGAGCATTCAGAACCTCGGACTGGACAGAAGATTCACCTTCTGACAGGACAATGACTCTACGCTCACAGAGCTAAAACAATGCAAGAGTGACTTATGGACAACTCTGTGAACGTCTTTGAGTGGCCCAGAGCCTGGGCTTGAACTCAATCAAAAATCTCTGGAGAAACCTGAAAATGTCTGTCCATCGACACGACAGTCCCCATCCAACTTGACAGAGCTTGAGAAGATCCAAGGAGAGGAATGGGAGAAAATCACCAAATGCAGATATGTAATGCTTGTCACATCACATCATACCCAAAAAAAGACTTGAGGCTGTAAAGGTGCTTTAAGATACAGTAAGGGTTTGAATACTTCTGCACTATTTCAGTTTTTCCTTTTTAATAAATTTGATAAGTTGTCACAGATATGCTTTGTCATTATGGTGTATGGCATGCAGATTTATGTGGGGGTAAAAAGTAATTTAAAGTATCACTTTAAATAAAATCTGTTTATCAAGTTATTTAATCTTGATGTTACTAGCGCCATGCTTCACAATTGCCACACATTAAACATCTTTTTGTACCTGGCTGGCTTGCTCAGTGAAGGATTCAGTCATCTTAACTGTAACATTGGCATTGGCTTCTTCATTAGCATTGAGATCTATAGAGGCAACCCACTGTAAATTACAAAACACAAGAGCTGAAATTACATTATTGACGTATGACAGGCAACAAGTAATGCAACTTATATGTATATTTAATTAGAAATGCACAACACAGGTAGCTGTGACAATTTAGTAACACCATTTAGCACTTAAACACATAGCATGTCTGATGGCACAATGAAAAAGCAATTAAAGTTTTCCAAATACGTGAGCTGTCATTTGGGTTGAATCAACTTACCCAGTTTTTAGCTCTGAAATATTGCACACATGCAGAGCCCAGAGCTCCCTTTCCTCCGTAAACAATCACTTTATGGGCTTCGGCAGCCATGCTGTTAGTTTCTTCAGAAGCACAGAAGAGGCCGTGTTATGCAAAAAATATATCACACGCGCCCCCTACTGGAAAAGATGAGAGGAGCAACCAGAATTGTACTAGAGTCGGTTGTTCAATCACTTTAAAATGTTTGTATGAGTTTATCATCCATTTTTAACGATTTTCCCCCCCAATTGAATGCCTGAAAATATTTCACTAAGACTAATACATGTCAAATTCGAACAGCGCAACAAATGTAATATTCCAGTCTATCGGCAGGTGGCAGACGAAGTATTTGCAAACGACAATTAAAAACAAAGAAGAAGAACGTAGCCTTTTTCCGCAGGAAATTCATGTACGTTAATCGTGTAGCGTCGCTAGCATTCTTTGACAAGCTTCTCATTTAGCTTTAATCACTACGTTGACAGCATATGGTCGCTTCAAATAATAATTAATCTTTATCTGAACTGTTTCTCTCTTTGAGAGAAGGCAGTGAAACATTCAGGTAATCCTCCGAGTTACTTCTTCATTAATTTGTGGATGATTTGCTGCATGTTGTATGTGATGTAATTGTGTTTCTGGTTAATGTGGTTATTATGGCATTTTGTTGTAATATTAAATATCTTATTAAAATATAAAAGTTTACACGTGTAAGATATTTACTGTCCCCTGGCTGTAAATTGGTCATTTATCTCAGTGTGTTAGATTTTGCTAAACTTCCATCTGGCCTGCAATATTTCTAACGTTACCGGGTGAATTTACATTAGACTGTCTTTCGTGTCTTGATCTCTTGACGGGAGATGAAATTATTTATTTTAACCACTAATTTATGTGTATAGAACTAGTAAACAACACATTTCTTGGCAAAACAAAGTAAGCGTTTGTTTTTAAATGAATTGGACCAGATGCTGAATGAAAAGCAGCCAACGTAAGAACTTGCTGATTATAATCATTCTTGCGTTCTTATTCTTAAGTGTTCATTATAATAAGGAATAAGAGCGTCCAAACTTTTCACTGGTAGCGTATAACCACAACATTTACTGATAAGATATATGTTCCGTTTATTGTCTAATAAAGCACTGATTTATAGTTGTATTTTGTGTTGTTGTCAGTTGTTGATTTAATAGTGGACTGATTTATAGTTTTGACTTGCACCATACCAGTCAAACAAGCCAAACCTGCTATAGAATTTGTGTATTTATATAGAGCCTTAAATATATATTTTGTTATTATTAAATGTACAACCTTATTTATAATGTGATTGGTTCGAATTATTTTCTAACCACTCAGTCCTATTTGTGTAGGATGGATCCAGCTCTTCTGAAAGAGCGAGAGCTCTTTAAAAAGAGAGCTCTATCTAATCCTGCAGTTGAGAAGAGACAAGCAACCTCCGAGGCCTCCGGATCCTCCAAGAAGAAAAAGAGCAGACCAGACAAAGATACATCGTCCTCCAAAAACAACACAGGTCAGAAAGTACATATGTGTTACATTTTATATTATATGTTAAAATAGAAAAGAGTTATTTTAAATTGTAGTAATATTTTGCAATATTACTTTTTTTTTTTCTTTTACTGTAGTTTTAAACTTTGGTTTAAAGCCTTGGTGAGCATAAGAGACATTTGATGACCTCTTTTATCAAATTAAGATATTAAAGGAGTAGTTCACTTTTAAAAAAAACGTTTGCTGATAATTTACGCACCCCCATGCCATCCAAGATATCCATGTCATTCTTTCTTCAGTTTAAAAGAAATTAAGGTTTTTGATGAAAACATTCCAGGATTTTTCTCCATATAATGGACTTCAATGGGAACCAAACGATTCAAGGTCCAAAAGACAGTTTCAGTGCAAACTGTTCAAAAGTCTTTAAACGATTTCAGATGATAAAATAAGGGTCTTATCAAGCGATAAGATCGCTCATTTAAGAAAGAAAAATTACAAAGTTTAAGTTTTATAAGCTCAAATGGTCACCATTTTATCTGTATTCAAATGGGCTTGGCTTACTACATTGTTATAAACTTGTGTTTGGGGAAATTCTAAAAACCAACATTAGCCTGATTCATTTCAATCTGAATTTCTTAAATATTTTTCTAGAATTGAAATATCTGCATCAGCTCGCAGTGGCAAAGAAACAGCAACCCTCTATTGCTGTTAAGTTTAATACCAGTGACAATAGTTAGAATAGCACTGAGGATTCTTCATTTTATGTCAGTGAGCCTAACATATAACACTTGAGTTATAAAACCTTCAACCTTTCTCCCGGCTGGTGTCTTTTCAACCTTGGTTTGTGAGAGTTATCCAAGCTGGTAGTTATGAATGTACACTTTGATTGATTTTTTTTTTGTTTGTTTGTTTATGTGTTCTTGTAATGTGAATATTTTGCAGAGTTGTTCTGGCCCTTGCAATCCGAGTTATAAGTTACATATACATTATTTTAAAAGTTGAGCAATTATCCAAACAATAATTTTAAAAGTAATTATACTTGTGAATGTAGTTTCTTAAGAGACGAGGTTGCATTTTTCAGTACACCTGGTATTAAAGAACCAATAAATAATTGAATACATTGAAATATCAGTAAAAAAACAATCAAATCATCTCTAGCTCTATTGAAAATGCTTTATTGAAGTCATTTAAATGTTTTTAGCAGCTGCTGATGATATCTTCTGTGACCCTAATGTGAAGAACCACACATTTTTTTGCATGTGATTTTTATTATATAATTTTAAATACTCAATTTGAAGGCATTTGCGAAGATGCAATAATTTGCCTTTAGTGTGCTTTTTGATGTAGAGCTATTATTATACATAACAATTATTCACACATTAAATGTCACCTTACAGGGAATTTAAACATACACATAGATCATTCCCTTTACTCCAACTGTAGTGAATGTTTGCTCTAGGTAGTCAATTAATACTGTATTTAGCTTATGAATTCCATAATGCTGACATGTACATTTTGCAATCCCACAGAAAGGGAAAAATTCATGTAAACTCATCTCAGATTATTCAACAGTTTTATATAGTCGACTCATTAAACAATAGTACTGAAATACTGACTGTAATATGCAAAGGAAACAATGACGTGTACACACAAGCAAATTTTTCCTTTCCTTCTGGTGTAAATCTCATTTCATATTTTAAGCCATCGAGATGCCTGTGCTGTGTATTGCTGTTGGAGCAATTGGGAGTAGAGTGCTTCTGTCTCTGTACATGTTTGCTGTGTTTTTAAAGGACTCCATTCTAGCGAAGAGCTCTGTCCGAATTTACAGCCTTTTCCATCTACTGTTATGGTTCCTTTTGGAGACCGTGTCCGCTGTCACCATGGTTACAACTAAACCACCTCTTCGTGCTGGCGGCGCAGGTCACGAACGGTTTTGGTCTTGGTGAAGCATCCGCAGTCCAGCAGCTCGTAGAGGAACGCCAGTGTGGCGAGGGAGAGGATGGTTAGAATGAAGAGGAGGAGAATGATGAAGCAGGCAACATTCCAGCCATCGTGGAAGGGATAGATCTGCTGGATCATTGCAGAACTGCTGGACATGTTCATACTGCAGAGAGACCTAGAAATACAGTCAGTTATTAAAGAGAAAGATGAGGAAGGGTAGAATTAGCCTGGGGTACGAACAGTGATCAAAATCAGCCAGAGGTAGTGTGATTGACAGATTTAAATGGGAGTTTCTACATGCAAATGTACTGTATTTTTCGGTGTTGAAGAGAAAAGGACGTATATTAGATCATCATCAAAGGCACAGTGCTTTTCTCATACTGTACTTTAGCTTTCAGTCAGGCATCTTTAATCTTTAGTTATTTTTGAGTATCTTGCAGCATGTGTAGGGTTTTTCACTACACCTGCATTTGAGATTTAGCTTACTAATCCAAAAAAAACGCATCTTATTGGGATTAGGTTAACCCAAAATTATAGTTGTTATTCAGTAATTACTTCAGATTAATTAGTCGTTTAGTTTTTTTTTTACCCATGGTCGTCCTTGTAGATTTGCACAAACAATAGAAGACTGCTTGTGTTCATGCTAAAATATTGAATTATTATTATTTTAGTTGAGCATAAGTTACTTTTAGGCTCATACATTTACTCTTATGCTCACTTAGGCTGCATTTATTTGATAAACAATACAGTAAAAACCATAAAATCAATTCATAATAGCTGTTGTTTTAATGAAGTTAAAAAAATTCACCATCATTACTCCAGTCTTCAGTGTCACATGAGCCTTCAGAGTTCTTCAGAGCAGCATTTAGTTGTAATAAAATTTTTTGTAACAATGTAAAACTCTTGTTAATTATGATCCATTTAATGCACTCTTGCTAAATTAAAGTAATTAAGTAATTACTGGTGGTCTCAATTAGAAATCATTTCTTAAAAAAAATCTTTCTGACTCCAAACTTACGCAGTGAACGGTAGTTGGAATATACCGGTAATTGTGTAATTGGGTTAACCGTAACGTGAGCCATGTGAAAGCATTTCTCACGCGTGTCTGATTGTGCACATGCGCTGCAGAAATACAGCTTCACTTTCAATTCAACCATGATTCAGATGAATCCCATATCTCCAAAAAAAATGTAAACTTCTTTTCACGTACATTTATTATCAATGTTCTACAGGATTTATGTTATTCTTAAAAAGATTAATTTCGGAGACCTGATCTTTTGACCTTAGTTTAACTCTGGTAGACACACACACACACACACACACACCCTCTTGTCTGATATAGACAGATGGCTTCTACTTGTCCTGGCCTCCAGAGACCCCCACCTCAAGCATCCCTTAGTACTGCGCTACCATTTCTGTCAAGCTCTTTTGCATTATTTGTCCTCTTTTTAGAATTTTAGGTGTAAATGGATGAGTTTTTTTTGTTAAGTATTCAGTACGCTATCAGTTTGATGCTGTCTAATGTAATGATATAGAATTGCCCAGTCAGCTTCAACTGTCTGGATCCTGCTATCTGTGTGCTTGTATGTATATGTATATAGGTACACCTATGACCGATATTTGAATTTAATTTTATGTGTTTGTGACAGTATATGCATTTATTATTGAATTGCAATTTAGTTAGTATAGCTGCATGCCTTACGTGATGTATATTCTCAATATGAAGAGTCAATTGCTAAAGGAATCCTTTGAAATTTGTAGAAAACTAAGATGATGTTTTAGTTTGTGTAGTATTTTAGGATTAGATTCATTGTGTTCGATATAAAAGCAGGACGTACCTGGGTGTTAGTGTCTGGGATGCAGGATGATGGAGCAGCCTCTTGCTTCTCTCTGTGTTGTATTTTTTGCCGTTCACGCGCTCTCTCTCTCTCTCTCTTTCTCCCTGCCCTACCTTAATCTGTAACCGTATATTGCACTGGCTGTTTGGAGTCTCTGCTTTGATGCCATTGGCTGGTTGTCCTGTCTTTCTAAGCATCAGCCATCCAACCTACTGTAATGCATCTGCTCTCAGCATTAGGTCCCACCCACACGATGAATCATTCATTAGTCAATGCCAAGATGCGGCTGAGACTGGCTGTGCTCCCGTTGCCAGGGGTTGAGAGCAGGGTGTGGAGGAGGAAGAGGATGTGATGTTAGAGCTACATGCTACTGAGGAAAGGATTCATTTTAACAGTTACAGGGAGCTTGAGATGGTGAAAATTAGTTTGGAAATAGAATGAGCTACGACAAAAAAAAAAAAGAAGATCTGTGAAATATGACGTCATTGTTCCGTTTTGGCCCAGTTATGCATTAGATTCAGGGTAGAGGTTTTTTTTAACCATTCTGTAAATACATACCTGTACATGATGGATTAGAACAAAACTAGAACAAGACTATTTATTTTCAGCATTTATTTTTCAGCCTCTTTTAAATAAACCATAAGATTCCCATCTTAATAAACATGGAAGTTGCAGTAGTCTTTTCTTCCTTATTGTGATTTGTCCTTACTTGATTTGTCAAATTTCACTGGCCTATTTACACGTGATGAATTGCTTTGTGTAATACTTGTCTTTTTTTTAACATTTATTTAATAGAGTTTTACCTTACCATATTAAAAAAAAGTTTAACCACGTTATGTTGTGCATATACAGATGAGCCAAAACATTATGACCACCTGCCTAATATGCTGTTGTTCCTCTGTATGCTGGCCCGCCAAGTAATGCACTCTACAAGACACCTGAACGCGTCCTGTGGTTTCTGATTATGTTCCTCAAACCATTACTGAACAATGTGTGCAGTGTAGCAGGGTGCATTATCCTGCTGAAAGTGGCCACTTCCACCAGGGAACACCATTGGTCTGCAACAATTTTTGTCCACATGAATGGCCTTTCGACGATAGACAGGGGTCATCATATGCACTTTTGTCTGCAGATACTCAGCCCCATGTCTTGTGACACATTCCTGTCATAACCATCATTACAATTTTGTGTGAATAGTGCCACAGTAGACCATCTGTTGGCTCGGACCAGACGTGATATATATTTTGTTGCTCTTGAGTGCCCAACACCCCGTCACTGGTTTGTTGTGGTGTGCGATATAGGGATCTCCCAGTCACGTGACCCTTAGCCTCATGTCAGCCATTTTGATGGAATACATCCGTCAGCTAATCAGTGGCGGATCGATTATTAGGTGTGGGCCCCCCTTAATAAAAGATCCATTGATCCATTAATAATATAATTATTAGTATACTATTATACTAATAATATAAATATTAGTATAATTATTTTTACAATAAGCCTAAATATTGCAATACTTTGCGCTACAGTATTGATATAATTGCATGGGCAAAATATCTCGATAATAAACAGAATTGATTTTTTTTTTTCCTCCACCACTATCTATTATTAGCGCAGCGGCCGTCACCTAACTCTTCATGTCATGTCATCGCACTTATTATTACCATGACAAAAAGAAATAGCCTGTACAATAGGAAGATAAAGGAATTAGGAATCATAGATCCATATGAACCACCATAAGTTCTTTTTTACAGGCATTAAATGTGTAGAAAAACTTCCTGACATTGAGTTCGGTGACATTTACAACTACCTTATTCACTTCCGATCACACTACACCGGAGCTTCATTAAAAGCATACAAAAGCAGGCTATCGGTACGAGTCCGGATGGTCAGCAACTCTTTGATTTGGACTCCAGCGGGGAACGATTTTTCAATCATCACCGCAAACTTATCACCAAATTATATGCGTACCTACGGTTTTAGACTGAGTTTACAGGGAAAAACACAAAACAAAATCGCCTAAAAGATTAAGTGCATCTTAAATGAATTGAATCTAGTTTGATCCAAGAAAAATGAAATGTGCTTTTTATACTTGTAACTATCATACTACAGTGACACTGACTGTCACTGTAATGTTAGTATGATGAACTGTCATTGAGACTGTCTCAACCTGTGTTTCTGATGATTCTTAAGAAGTGTCAAATAAAATAGTCTACAAGATCAGCTTTCGGCAAAAAGATATTCCTTTTGTATGATCACATGTCTGATCGCATCCAACTGCACAGCTGTAGCCTGTACAAAGTACAAAGAGCAACATGTATTATCCACTAATCTAGTTTATAATAGCATTTTTGTCATGGATTATGATCATATATTTTTTGGATTTATTGTCTTTCTGTATTAAGTAGATTGTGTTTAACAAACAAAAGAGTGATTATCAGTTCAACACACAGAGTTATAGAAATTCTACTTGATTTAAAAAAAAAACTGCATTGGTATCGGATCGGTATCGGTCGATACTCAGAATTTTTGAATCGGATCGATTCTGAAAAAGATGGTATCGCTGCATATCTTATTTAAGCAGGATTCTTTATTTCTGTTGCATTGCTGTAGTCTGCTTTGTCCAAAAATCTTAGCCAAGTCTGACTATATTAAAATACAGACTGGTATACCATACAAGGGGGAGGAGATACATAAAGGTGGAGACACTGAAACAAAACATGAAAATGAAGTATACAGGTTTAGAAAACTGTGCTAGCCTAATCTAATCGGCAAAACTAAACTCATGTAATCAGCCAGGCTATTCAATGACAAAAGGTGATGGTCTCCGTGCTCTGATCATTTTAACTTACAGTAGAGAGATCAGGACAAACAGTAACCGACAAGTTTGTGACATCATTTACCTTAGTTACAAAATTCACACCAATAAACTTCCTCAGTTTATGTACTATTGTACTGGAACCTAACTTAAACATTGACATGAATTTGTAATCCTATAGTGTGTAATGAATAAAAAGAAATGTGTGTGCTTGCTTGTACTATTTGAGAGAGAAGAATTCACCTGCAAATCTAAAATCCAACCACCGTGTGTACCAGTGACGTTTTGCTGGCATCTAATGGGGGGAATCTGTTACTGTGCCCGAATTGTCATTAATGACTCATCCTTATGCCATTGAGTTTTCTGTCCCTCCATTGAAAATGCATGATATACTTTCCTTGTTCAGAAAGGATGCACAAGTGTTAAGATATACCTTTTGTTTTAATAATTTAAACAGGCCTTTAAGTTCAAACTTTAAGCTCAAAAGTAAAAAAAAAAAAAAACATCACCTTAAAATCATATAAGGGAGTTGTTCTGTGTTTTAGTCACGTTTTGACATTTAGCACTGTGCAAAAAAAAAATAAAAATAAATTAGGCTACATGAAAAAATCATCATTGCCAGGAGTTTTTGCCCAAACTTCAGAAGTCTGTTTAAATGATTAAAACTAGAAGTATATAACTATGTATTAACTTTAAGATTACTTTTATCACGTAAACCACATACATATTCACGTATTCAGCATGTTGTGCATAGGTGTGGGACAGGTACCACAGTTGCATACCAGCAGAGGATGCTGTCCAGCATTAATCAAAGCATGTCACAGACAATGGTCTGAGTAGAAAACCTGATAAAGGTGGCATAATGAATGATTCTGATAAAAATAATTTATCCTGAGCATTTATGCTGGGGTGTGTAGGTTGTGCGGTGACATGTAATTTGAAACTATTTCAAGGAAATCTATTTAATTTTTTTTTAAGCGCATCTGCTTAACCTGGAGTTGGCTCACCCTCTGCCTATGTTCAGAGAATTCATATTTAACGCATTATTACTCCAATCGAAACTTGAAACATGGTTAGAATTATAAATGACTAATTTGGCCATCACTCTGAGACCTGCCGCCTTCAACTATTTTAATATTGAATACACTCAAGTCGTTTGTGTGCTTTAATATGCTACAGACGTATATATTTTTATTGCTATTTGGTATGTATCGTTTTTATTATTATTGTGTTTTTGCCTTGGTGGAACTGAAGAGCTTTTGACAAATGTTTACATAGTGTAGAAGCATATTGAAAATGTGTTTTGGTCTGGTTGTTTTAATATAAAACTTGGTCAATATCAGGTATAATAAATGCAGGATGTTATTGTTTTAGTGAATGTCTGTTTCTCAGATCATAAGAATGTGTGCCTCCCTAGGAAAACAAAATATCCACCCATTCTATATGTTCTGAAAATGCCCCTACCCACAGTGTCCAGATATATTCCAATTTTAATCGTTTTATGACTATCAAGAATGCATAAATAACTGGAATATTCCACATTGTAAGCAGAATTTGAAGAGTTCAGATGCAAAAGCCTCTAAGTGCCATTTGAAAATTTCTTCTAGAATGATAATTTTTTTTTATCAAGCTTGTATATTTAAGTTCAGTGATTTCATTTAAATGGCAATGATAATTACCTATTAATTGTTATTTAAGTGAAATTACTGAACTTAAATATACAAGTTTGATAAAAATCATCATTAAAGAAGAAAATTTCAAATGGCATTTAGAGGCTTTTGCATCTGAACTCTTCATTTATATATACTGTTCTTGCCTAGAAAAAAATATATATTAACAGATTTACTATTATTCATTTCTGTTATTTTCATTATACTTATAAATTCCTATCTCACACTTTTACTTATTGCCCCCTTTTAGAATAGGTGAGTTGTCTGGTGAGTTATATGCTGATTTGCATCTGTTTTTATAAGAGGTTTTATTTTGCATTAGAGAAAGTGTTTTCAAATGGATTATATCAAAGGGATAAATTAAGGCATCTGACTGGCCAGAGCGCTTTTTCACTTTGCACTTGGTCAAAATAGACCCTTTTGTCAATATTTTTTTTTCTTCTCTTTTCATTTTACTCTTGGTTTCTGGTGTGTCTCTTTAGGATGAAATTGTCTGCTGGCAGTGGCAGCAGAAAGAATTGTAAATGGAGGGGTATATAGCAGCCAGAAACTAACTTTGTGTTTGGACACGACGTCTGTTATTATCTGTTGTCGTTTGAGAGGGTTGGTTATAGTAGTTCTACATTAATAACTTAGTAGTTGCTGCACTTACTTATTATAGTCTGTTATCTCTTCTTATCCTCCTTGTCCTTCTTTCGTCTCTCAGATCCCAGTAATGGCTCCTTCAATCTCAAAGCACTTTCCGGGAGTTCAGGATATAGATTTGGAGTTTTGGCCCGAATTGTCAACTACATGAAGGTAATACAAAAATATGCACATTTTCTGCACAGTTCATCAAACAAAAATTTACTGCAATGTCTATCATCTGTCATTTTCTTGCATTGCATTAGTGCACATCACAGAGTTTTTTTTTTAATGAAAAGGTTTATTTTAACTCAGGAGATTTCTGCAATTCAGAATACCTAGAGAATGTCACATGGGGAATGAAATTATCCTGAGCTGAGCAATCCACACTGTCATTAAACACATGCTCCCTCCATCGAATGCCATGGGAAATGGCTTCCAAACTCAGCTCATCTATTGCCAGTCTTGTGTTCGTACCAACATTGTGATCTTTAATGAAGGTTCCTTCTGTTCATTTGTGAAGGTTTTCATGTTGTCTCCTTGAAATGAGTCCCTTGCTCTCTCCTAACAACAGGTTCCATTTGACATAAATAAACACTTTGTGAAATTTCCCATTAATAAGTTGTTTTATGTCATCGTAAGCAGTCTTTTTTTGTGTGTCAGGCTTGGCAGTTCCCCACAGTGAAATGATGTACTCTCTAACATGACAGTAATTGAAGGCTGTCATCTGCAGATGTAGCCATGACACATTTAAACATCTCTCTTTCTCTTCTCCTTTCTTTCTCAGACAAGACACCAGAGAGGAGATACTTATCATCTGAGTCTAGATGAAATTCTGGATGAGACCAAGCTGCTGGACATTGGCATGAAGCAGAAACAGTGGCTTATGAGTGAGGTGTGTGTTCATAAGAGGAAGACATTGGGTCTCATTACCTTATTGTATAGACTATTCGTATTTATATGCACAGAAGAACTTCTCATGAAAAATGCATTTTTTAAAACGTGTACACGCACATAAAATTGTTCTTCTGGTGGGATTTTTTTTTTTTTACTTTATTCTTCATTTTTGATTACAAATGAATGCATTACAATTTTTTTTGACCACAGAATACCATGATTGACCAATCAAAATCATATGTTCCATATTTAATAACAGAATATTCCTTTTCAAGGGCAAGAGACGCATTCAAACCAAAATAGTAAATCTAACCTCTCCCTCCAGGCATTATCAAGTAATCCTAAGATTGATGTGCGGGAAGGGAAATATGCCTTTAAACCCAAGTATCATCTGAAGGATAAGAAAGCTCTGCTAAGACTACTGGACAAACACGATCAGCTGGGACTAGGAGGGGTGTTACTGGATGACGTTGAAGAGGGTCTTCCCAACTCTGCCAAGGCTATTAAAGTAACACACTAATGTCATTCCTTTGAAGTAATAGGTGGATAATATTCTAGAACCTACATTTAAATAATCAGTAGCACAGAAACTTCAAAATGTCTCAGGACATCTTTTTTTTTAGATTTTCAAATATTCCTTTTGTTTTAGCACTTAATTTGGATATATTATTTATTTGGAAATAATTGAGACACAACATTGTGTATTTAATGTGTAGTTTTTGTTTAGAAAGCAATTGATGAGCTTTTTTAAGTTTTGAAATTTTATTTATTTATGTTGTTCAGGCACTTGGAGATCAGATTATTTTTGTGACCAGGCCAGATAAGAAGAAGGTTCTATTCTACAATGACAAACACTGCCAGTTTGTTGTTGATGAAGGTGTGTGATGATCATCATAATTAATAGTTCTGGTGATGTGGGTGGATGCTTCTCTATCGTGACGTCAGTATCATTCGTTCTCCAGAGTTCCAAAAGCTGTGGCGCAGCGTTCCTGTTGATTCCATAGATGAGGAAAAGATCGAAGAGTATCTGAAGAAACAGGGCATATCATCCATGCAGGAGACAGGGCCAAAGAAAATGGTACGTTCTATCTGTCACATATATACAGATAAACATTTTCACACAGAGATACAAACACACACTCTCCACACTCTGGTTCATGCATATATCTGTGGAAGTGAACAGTTGATGTGATTTGTGATTGGCTGTTACAGACGCCCATTCAGAAGAGGAAGAAACCTGGAACACAGAGAAAGAGACGGTTTAAGACTCATAATGATCATCTTAATGGAGTACTGGAGGACTACTCTGAGGGAGTTCCCTCCAAGAAGTGACACACACACACACACACACACACACGGCTGAAAAGACAAGACCGATATCTGTGTGATGTTTGTATTTCTGATCTAACGTCTTATTGCCAAAACCATAAAGACATGCAGACACACACACACACATTAGAACTGTACTGAGTGACAAAAATGTGAACAGACTGTAAATATTTTGTTTTACTTTTTGCTAGTGCTTTAAGCAATGATTATTAAGCTCTTCTTTTTTTTAGATTTAATGATTAAACAAGAGCAATCAAACCACATCTATTGTTTTCTTTCAGAGTTGTTCATATTTAAAAATGCCTTCATATATGCATATATCAGTACAAAGTGTCTTGAAGAATACTGTTCTGTTTTAAGAATTAAAGACTTTCAAGTACTTCACAACTTTTTCCAGCACTTAAAAGTCTGAAAATTATTACATTTTAAATGTTATTTTTAATGTGAAGACCAAAACACTATTTGTTCACCCTTCAAAGATTTTCCGAATATGTGAAAGTAAAAGTTTCACAATGTAGGAAAATGAACACTTGGTGAAATACAAACACATTTATTTTAAAATAAATACATGAATTTGCCACAGTAGTATAATCAGTATGAGGAGTGCTAATTGGCTGATTAGCCATTTCCTCTTCCTAACAGTTTTTCACACGGTTTGCTTTTGAATTTATTTGTAGAGATTATCAAATCACTATAATAACTTTTTTTTGAAAATCTGCCCCCCCCCCCCCCCCCCCACCACACACACACACACACACACAAAAACACAGTTTTTGTACTGAAGTGTGAAGTATGTATTTGTAGGAAAGGTCACAAAGTCTCATGAAAAACTAAAACTTTTCTTCAAATAACAGCGCTGAGTATAGAACGCTTCCTCACTGTCAGTTAGTTCAGTGCAAACTCATTTAGCGCAAAAATAACGTTTTAATTAATAAATCATCTGACTAAACTTTTATTGAATGAGTCTTTTATTTACATTGTGTCTCCGCTTTGTTTGTTATAATGAGAGGATTTGTCCACTTGTGCTAAACAAACTCATTAAGCATTTTGAATGAAAGTGGGTGGATTCTTACCACCGGTAACTTAAAGGGTTAGCTCACCCCAAAATGAAAATTAAGTCATTTAATTACTCACCCCCATGCTCCAACCCCGTAAGACCTTTGTTCATCTTCGGAACACAAATGAAGATATTTTTGATTAAATTTGAGAGGTGGATCACTACCACATAGTCACCAGTGTTTCCCCTACAATGTATTCAGCAGCGGCGCAGCGCCGCCGCTGGATTTGCAGCGCCGCCGCAAAATCTTTTCATGACCAGCAATATCATGACATTCACTTCATTCACTTATACACCTAAAAACACAGACATGGCGACCGGCAGCGCTGCTAATGTGGCTCTGAATCCACTTGTTGACAAGAACGGAGGAAAGAGCCATATATGGAAATATTTTCGATTAGGCTAATGTCATGTTGCCATAAGGGGCCGTTCGTTAATTTAAATAAGCCATACGCGCTCCACTCAGAATGGGCTATATGCACGCATAAGTTCCGCATTTGACGTAAGGATGCTCGTCCATTTCCGGTTGTGTAGATTAAAGCGGAGGAAAACCGGAGAAAACGGGATTATGGCAGAGTCTTCAATATTTACTGTCCTCCCGTCTTTGAAACGAAACGTACATACGTTTAGATGTAATTTTATATATAGTTATGTTTATTTAATATCATTTTAAAAAGAAGCATAAACACAACGAGGGGTGTCTGTTTTATCTGTTTTTGTGACTAACGTTTCATTAGTATAACCATGGAGTATAAAATTCAATATAAATTCTCGGTATTGCATTGGACTCTATGATCGGCGGAAGTTATCGAGCATCCTTAATCCTTCACCGGAAATAACGCCGTGCATAGAGCCCATAGAAGTGACGCGGTGGCGGCGCACTCGTTTATCCAATCGCGCCTCTGTCTTGCTTGTCAGTCTCGTCGCCGAATGGAACATTCCGAGCGCCATACTGTTCAAGGTTGCTTAGCAACGAGAGACTCCACGGGACAGCGAGCACTTGTGGAAAGGAGAAAGCGGTACGAACTGTTTCCATGAGCCGGACGAGGAAGTATCACCTACTGCTCATAGTCCTGATCTCTCTTCCGGCTTAATAATACCAGTCACAGCGCGAAATAAACATGAATGAGCATCTGAAAGTGTGTTAAAAGATAGAGTACAACTTATCGAAATCCGTATCATGTCACATTGATTCGCTCACGTCAGTTAAACAGCTTGTAATCAATGTCATGTATCGTCATATTTACCTCAGAAAACCCACATCAACTCATTAGTCAGCTAGAAAAAATAACTCTAGAGAGGAGCATTTTGCTAAATATATACACCATATTACATATGCATTATAATCTTAATGTTCTTCAATATTTAATGCATATTTGAATAAATCTGGCAAGTTTTTATGACAGTCACCATTTAAATGTTTATATAATCTTCTTATTATAAAAATAAATAAAAGTGTAATTTAAGTGTTTGTATAGCTACAAAACAGTTCATTATTACCTTCATATTAGGCTAATGAAGCCTAGCAGGCTACTACAACTAGACTCCCATAGTTTACAGCATTAGTTATGAGATTTGATTCCCTTGAGAAAATTAGCCATTTATTGTAACTGATATCCAAAATAATTAATATTGAATCGAATCGGAATCGAAATCGAATCGAATTGCAAGCTTGTGAATCGAAAAGCGAATCGAATTGTGAAATTTGTGTCAATACCAAGCCCTACATTCTAATATGATGATATCTGCTCTTTTTTTAAAGTTTCTTTTATTATTAAAAAATAACATCATGTAATAGTATTTCACAATATTAGGCTACTATTTTTTCTGTATTTTTGATTAAATAAATGCAGGCTAGATGAGCATAAGGCTTCTTGCAAAAACATAAAATAGTATCACTGTCACTCACACACATCTGAAAAACCCAGAAAAATTAAGTGCTCACAAATTGGGTGTGGCCTTTGCCATTAAGAAAAAATGTTCAATAAATTGTAAATAATCTTTTTCTGGGTTGTGACGTTTCATTTTTCCCCTATCAATTTCTACATTTTAGTTTGAGTTTTAAAACTTACAGGTTATTTTTTATAGTATAACGACCTCTTAACTGTCAAAATATCATTAAAGCTACATTATGTATTTTTCTCCGCCGCTAGGGGTCGCTAACCTCTTACAATAACAAAGGCGTAGGTTTAGGACGCAGTGAATAAGCGTAATGATGGAACTTGTCATGCAGATGGATCTAATGTGTATGGAAAATGTATTTATACATTTTTCAAACTCATGGTTGAAGGGGTTATTTAAAAAAAAATTCTCCCGGAGGTGCAATTCCCCAAACCGCACACCGCCCCGCCCACAGCGGCTTGGTAACAACCTCCGGCACCTAACAGCACCGCTGCTGAAAAAATTTCTAGGGGAAACACTGGTCACCCTAAGGGATTGAAACTTGACGGCCCAGAAAGTCATCGAGAAATGTTTAAATATTCCATGTGATTACAGTGGCTCAACTATAAGTTAATCAAGCGACAAGAATATTTTTTGTGCGGAAAAACAAAAACAAAAATAACGACTTTATTCGACTATTCCTTTTCTTCCTTCTGGGCCTGAGTTGAGAGTTCAAGAGATTTCCACGACACATGCGCGAGAACTACGTTATTTTTCTACTACTTCTTGTTCAGTTCTCACGCATGCATCATACATAGGTTATAGAAACCAAATATGCCACACATATGATTCTGGTTAACCATAGTATGCAAAGTCTGAAACCCATTAGAGTTTACAAGAAAACATAGACCAAACAACATAAAGGAAAATCATGAGATGGAAATCATTAGATACATGTTAATACATTTATTACATAGGATTAAAAGGGTTCATTTCTCCTCAGCAAGAAGTAAGTTCATGCACATTCTTTTGGGTCGTAAAGCTTATCAGTCTTGTAACGAGTTCTGCCAGTGTGCTGCCAGTTGTTTGGGATAGTGAGTTTGCTGGATTGTTCATTAAATATAATGAATCGTTTGTGTGCGTCTGATTGGTCCAAACACTACATAGTTACTATAAAATGGTGCATTATTACATGAAACTAACCCTAAACCCTAATCCTAACCCCAAGTATAATATTACTAAGTACTTAAAATGTATAATTACAGTGTAACAAAGACACCATAAAATAAAGTGTAACCCAATGCAGAGTTCTTGTTGATATTTTGCATTGATGCATTACATTTATGTTACATTTATTCATTTAGCAGATGCTTTTATCCAAAGCGACTTACAATTGAGAATAATAGAAGCAGTAGGACAAAATACTATGTAAGTGCTATGACCACTCTCAGTTTAATTTAACACATTTTTTTTTTAAAGAATAGAATAGAAGAGAAAGTGTTCGTATTACTGGATCAAGTGCTGTCGATAGTGGCTACTGACTTAGTAGCTCTGGTTGAGTTTGGCAGATCATTCCACCAAGGACCGAAAAAGAGATTTTGTGCCTCTTTGAGATGTTACCTCAAGACGACATTCGCTAGCAGAGCGCAAGTTTCTAAATGGCACGTAAGTCTGAAGTAGTGAGTTTAGGTAAGAGGGAGCAGTGCCAGTGGTTGTTCTGTAGGCAAACGTTTGGGACTTGAATTTAATGCGAGAGGCAACTGGCAACCAGTGGAATTTTTTTGGCTCAATAAAGACCACTCTGGCTGCAGCATTCTGGATCAGATGTAAAGGTTTGACAGAGCAAGCTGAAAGACCAGCCAGGAGAGCATTACAATAGTCCAGGCTGGATAGAACAAGCGCTTGGACAAGGGGTTGTGTAGCATGCTCTGTTAGGAAGGGCCTGATCTTCCTAATGTTGTGCAAGGCAAATCTGCAGGACCGGGCAGTAGCAATGTGGTCTTTGAAGTTCATTTGATCACCAATTACAACCCCAAGGTTCCTAGCTGACCTTGATGGAGTTACAGATGATGAGCTTAGCTGAATGGAGAAGTTGTGATGAAATGTTGTGTTGGCCGGGATCAAACGTAGCTCTGTCTTCGCAAGGTTTAGTTGTAGGTGGTGGTCCTTCATACATCCAGAAATGTCAGTCAGACAGGCTGAGACCATCGGATCATCAGGCTGGAATGAGAGGTAGAGTTATGTGTCAAAATGACAGGAAAAAGCCATGTTTCTGATTCACAGATCCTAGTGATGCCATGTAGATGGAGAAGTCCAAGCACTGAGCCCTGAGGACCTCAAAGGAGAGTTAAAGGGATAGTTCACTTTGAAATTAATTTTTGAGATGTTTTAGCTTACCTCAAGGGCATCCAAGATGTAGGTGTTTTTGTTTCCACAGCATTTTCAA